GCGCGGGCGGCCGCTCTCGGCCCCGGGAGCCCTGCGGCGAAGCTGCTTGGCGCCCCGCCCGCGGTGACTCTCCCGCGCGACAGCCCGGGGCGGCCGGGGAGCTGAGGCTCCTCCCGTCGTCCGCACCTGCGGTTGTCCCGCCCCGGTGTTCGGGTCGGCACCCGTATCCTGTTTAGCCAAACGCGCTACGATGACCCCGGAGGTCCTGGACAGGTACTTCCGGCCAGGACAGCTACTTCCGGTCAGGACAGCTCCCGGCTGTGCAGGGCTCGGGGCGTCAGGCGGCCCCAGGAGCCCTGGGGGAGACGCGGCCGCCAGCCCCCACTGTTTGCGGTTGGCTGTTGACGTCCCGCCACTCGTTTGTCCCCTCTCTCCGCCCCAGGGGGCCATGACTCCCTTGAGAAAGCCCGCCCACGCGCCCCTAGCTATCTAGGCACACAGCAAACTTGCCAGGGCTCTTAGATTCCCCAAATGGGTGACTGATCTTCAGCCCAAGTCCATCTTTAGTGACCTTTAGGAGTACGCCATTTTCGGGGTGGGGGGGGTTTCATTCGGGCTGCAGGGAGAGATCTGTAACATTGAGTTGGGAAAGCACAAAACAAAGAGGGTACTCAGAGTATGAAAGACAAAGTTTGAGGGTACCCGCATGTCCGGGCAAAGAAACCAAACAAATAGAAGAGAGCCTCGGTAGGAGCGTACGGTGACATCGGAAATGCCGGGGCACAAATGGCTGTTTTGGTGCGGATGGATTCTCTGGTGCTCAGGGAGAGGTGAGTCAGACAGAAGGTCCCGTACTCGTCCAACTCCTTCCCAGTGTGAATTCTGTGATGTCCACAGTATAAATTCTGTGATGTTCCGTAAAGTCGGAACTGAAAGCTCTTCTACCTTCGTCACACAGGGTTTGGTGAAGTCTGAACTTTCCCTGAAAGCATTTCCACAACCACTATACTGGTAACGCTGTTTTGGAGAATCCAATGCTGAGTGAGCGAGTTCTGTGCTGTGACTGAAGACTTTACCACATTCACGGCATTCATAAGGTTCTGTTATGCCGGAATGGGACACACTACCCCAAAAAAGCCAGCCACACCGCTGTAAAGACAACAGGAAACTTTATTGCAAGCTCCAGCCTGGGCCCAACCGCACATCAGAGGCACCTGGGTGGCAGGGAGGGCCCAGAACAAAGGGAAGAGCATGATATTGTCCCTTTTGGCACGCAGGCCTTGGGACAAAGGGGTGGCTAGTGACTGGTTTGGCTGACCTTTACATGCTTTCCTAAATATGGTGAGGTTGGCTTTTGGCCAGGGCAGTTGGCCCCCTACACCTTATCTAGACAGGAATGCACAAGAATGCAGGTTCCACCGAGGGGGGGGAGGAGTAGTAAAAGTTTCCCCTGGAATGGCAGTTTTAAGAACATCACACTGATTATGTTGTTCAGGTTCCGCTCCAGAGTTATTTTCCTGACGTTTAATAAAGACTGAGCTTTGACGAAAGCTTTTGCCACATTGATTACACCAATGAGGTTTTTCACCAGTGTGAGTTATGATGGGTTTAAAAAGGACTGTTTGCACTGAAATGGTTGTTCCCCTCTGGGGAGTCCCTGATGTCCAAGCCCATTGTTGCTGTAAATGAAGCTTTTCCCACACTGACCACATCTCTGTTTTTTTCTTCCTCTAAATTTCTGCGATGACTTTCAAACCTGTCCACATTCACAACAGTCTGCAAAATAAGAGCCCTGGAAAGTATTCCTGTTTCTACAGATTCTACAGGTTATTATCATCTGTGATTCCATTCCTTTGGATACTTCTTGTTTTGGAGTTAATTTTCCAGTTTCTCTCTTTAAAATAAGTCATTCAAATGTCAATTTCTTTTTAAACTTTTTATTATGGAAAATCTTATAAAAGGGTCCTGGGGTGTCCCTTTTTTGTTTTATTATTTGTTTGTTTATAATGTGAATACAATCATTTATTTGCCTTTACAGTCATGATGGAAGAATATACAGGTACTTAATTCTGTTTTAATCATGCTTTCCTGACAATAAATACTTCTCCAGTTCAATTAAGGAAGGAAAGTCCTTGACAGAAAATATGAAATAGATGTATTTTAGAAACACACAATCTGTATAGTACTTACTAAAGCAGGATTGGAAACAATTTTTTGCCACCAAAAATCAACACAAGCGATTAGAGAACTTATTAAATTCTAAGGGTGTAAAGAAAGTTTTAGATTGGCACTGAAACACAATTCTAGCCAGAAGCAGGAGTATGTATCCTACTGCTAGGAAAGAATCAAACAGGACACTGCTTGCAGATCAGTGTGAACCAGCACTTCCTTTATCCAATTAAGGTCAGTGTTCCTTTGTGGACACAAACAAAAAATCCACTTGTAAATGAAATTTGACCTGAAGAAGACAAATTAGCTGTTCCACTGAGCATATCAAAATGGAAATTCCACCTGAACTCACACGAAATACTGGAAGAGGGTTGATTTCTTGACTTCCCTGCTCAGCTTATTGCTACTTTCTGGAGACAAATTCTGTAAAGTGGGGCTTTATAAATGGAAAGCACGATGACATGTAGAGAACATAGAAAGGAAAAGGTATCTAAGACTAGCAACATGGAGGGCAGGTATGAATGTGAAAACAGGAAGCAATTCAATGTGGAAACAGACATGAGAAATGGAGTCAAAGTACAAAGTTTAAAAAGTGATGATCAAAAAAAAGTGACAATCACTGAGAGGCTGAAAAATCTTAACAGGATAAAACAAAACGTTTGTGAGGTCACTGCAAAAGAGAGAAATAGGATGATGTGATGACTGAATGGAAAACTAAGGCAGGTATGTGGAAACAGAAGAGAAACCTTTGGCTGAAAAGGCCAAGGACAAAGGTTGTATCTTACGAGGGAGTAGATGAGTCAGGATGGACTTTAGGGAAAAGCCAGTGTCAGAGACACTAGTGAATAAGTCAGAAAAGATGGCTGGGCTGGCCAAGCAAGAGCCCGCCACCCTAACTCGCATGCCCTCTTAGACACTTCCTCTCCCTTCTCACTTGGAGGGGCTTGGGGCCAGAGCCCTGTGTGGGCAGCGTCTCCTAGAGCTGATACACTGGTGACGGTTGTTTGGCTTCCAGGGATGTCACCTCTTCTCAATACTTCCTGTCATCTGCTTGGGGTGTGCCCAGGAGCTAACCAGAGGCCACTGGGCTTCGGAGGAAACTGCTGTGAGAACTATGGCTAAAATCTTAGGGAGCGTCTCCCCTGGAGACAGGACGAGGAAAAGGACCCAGTGGACCCAGAAGGAGAGA